AACTTTTGGCTATTTGGAAATGTTGCATTAAAAGTGTTTAGCTTAAATATGATTTAAAAATGTTTTAAAAGCAGACAATCTGGCTCATGCTCATTAAAATGAGAAAGTCTACTGAGTTTGACATAATAATTGAAGAAGTTCAGCAATTTTAATAGAACCAGTTCATGAATTAAAGATGGTTAATTAAGGCAAAGAAAATGGGGAAACTCAAACAGCACTGCATTTGAGTTCAAGTGATGTCCTCATTGAAGTGCAAGTGATGACCCCTCGATTTAATACATAAATTATTAAGAACTTGATTTCCTCCCCACCCCCGTGATTCAGTACATTAATTTTAATGTTTTCCAATGAGCTACATAATGAAGAAAGGAAAAGCAGGGTTCTACATAAACAGCATTAAATTAGCACAGAAACTGTCTTCAGCTAACATGCATTGAGGTGAACTCAGCACGTTCTCAGAGAATATTTTGGGTCACTTAACTACTGTTTGCCATAGAGACTCTATTGTCTAGGGATGAATGAATGCAGACTTCACCACACTGCTCTGCTAAATCTCATCTCTTGTGAACTGGAGTGAGGGTATGTCTACACTACGGAATAAGGTCGAATTTATAGAAGTCGGTTTTTTAGAAATCGGTTTTATATATTCGAGTGTGTGTGTCCCCACAGAAAATGCTCTAAGTGCATTAAGTGCATTAACTCGGCGGAGTGCTTCCACAGTACCGAGGCTAGAGTCAACTTCCGGAGCGTTGCACTGTGGGTAGCTATCCCACAGTTCCCGCAGTCTCCGCTGCCCATTGGAATTCTGGGTTGAGATCCCAATGCCTGATGGGGCTAAAACATTGTCGCGGGTGGTTCTGGGTACATATCGTCAGGCCCCCGTTCCCTCCCTCCCTCCCTCCGTGAAAGCAAGGGCAGACAATCATTTCGCGCCTTTTTTCCTGAGTTACCTGTGCAGACGCCATACCACTGCAAGCATGGAGCCCGCTCAGGTAACCGTCACCCTATGTCTCCTGGGTGCTGGCAGACACGGTACGGCATTGCTACACAGTAGCAGCAACCCCTTGCCTTGTGGCAGCAGACGGTACAGTACGACTGGTAGCCGTCATCGTCATGTCCGAGGTGCTCCTGGCCATGTCGGCTGGGAGCGCCTGGGCAGACATGGGTGCAGGGACTAAATTTGGAGTGACTTGACCAGGTCATTCTCTTTAGTCCTGCCTGCAGTCAGTCCTATTGAACCATCTTATGGTGAGCGGGCAGGCGATACGGACTGCTAGCAGTCGTACTGTACCATCTTCTGCCGAGCAGCCATGAGATGTGGATGGCATGCAGTCCTTCTGCACCGTCTGCTGCCAGCCAAAGATGTAAAAGATAGATGGAGTGGATCAAAACAAAAAATAGACCAGATTTGTTTTGTACTCATTTGCTTCCCCCCCTCCCCTGTCTAGGGGACTCATTCTTCTAGATCACACTGCAGTCACTCACAGAGAAGGTGCAGTGAGGTAAATCTAGCCATGTATCAATCAGAGGCCAGGCTAACCTTCTTGTTCCAATAAGGACAATAACTTAGGTGCACCATTTCTTATTGGAACCCTCCGTGAAGTCCTGCCTGAAATACTCCTAGATGTAAAGCCACCCCCTTTGTTGATTTTAGCTCCCTGAAGCCAACCCTGTAAGCGCCCCTCCCGGCGTCAGAGCAACGGCAAACAATCGGGCTTCTGAGAGTGCTGTCCAGAGCAGTCACAATGGAGCACTCTGATGGGGCTAAAACATTGTCGCGGGTGGTTCTGGGTACGTATCGTCAGGCCCCCGTTCCCTCCCTCCCTCCGTGAAAGCAAGGGCAGACAATCATTTCGCGCCTTTTTTCCTGAGTTACCTGTGCAGACGCCATACCACGGCAAGCATGGAGCCCGCTCAGGTAACCGTCACCCTATGTCTCCTGGGTGCTGGCAGACGTGGTACGGCTTTGCTGCACAGTAGCAGCAACCCATTGCCTTCTGGCAGCAGACGGTGCAATACGATTGGTAGTCGTCCTCGTCGTGTCGAGGTGCTCCTGGCCACGTCAGCTGGGAGCGCCTGGGCAGACATGGGCGCAGGGACTAAATTTGGAGTGACTTGACCAGGTCATTCTCTTTAGTCCTGCAGTCAGTCCTATTGAACCGTCTTATGGTGAGCGGGCAGGCGATACGGACTGCTAGCAGTCGTACTGTACCATCTTCTGCCAGGCAGGCAAGAGATGAGGATTGCTAGCAGTCGTATTGTACCATCTTCTGCCGAGCAGCCATGAGATGTGGATGGCATGCAGTCCTTCTGCACCGTCTGCTGCCAGCCAAAGATGTAAAAGATAGATGGAGTGGGTCAAAACAAGAAATAGACCAGATTTGTTTTGTACTCATTTGCCTCCTCCCCTGTCTAGGGGACTCATTCATCTAGGTCACACTGCAGTCACTCACAGAGAAGGTGCAGCGAGGTAAATCTAGGCATGTATCAGTCAGAGGCCAGGCTAACCTCCTTGTTCCAATAAGAACGATAACTTAGGTGCACCATTTCTTATTGGAACCCTCCGTGAAGTCCTGCCTGAAATACTCCTAGATGTACAGGCACCCCCTTTGTTGATTTTAGCTCCCTGAAGCCAACCCTGTAAGCCGTGTCGTCAGTCGCCCCTCCCTCCGTCAGAGCAACGGCAGACAATCGTTCCGCGCCTTTTCTCTGTGCGCCTGCACATCCACCAATGTGATATATGCCATCATGTGCCAGCAATGCCCCTCTGCCATGTACATTGGTCAAACTGGACAGTCTCTACGTAAAAGAATAAATGGACACAAATCAGATGTCAAGAATTATAACATTCATAAACCAGTCGGAGAACACTTCAATCTCTCTGGTCACACAATCACAGACATGAAGGTCGCTATCTTAAAACAAAAAAACTTCAAATCCAGACTCCAGCGAGAAACTGCTGAATTGGAATTCATTTGCAAATTGGATACTATTAATTTAGGCTTAAATAGAGACTGGGAGTGGCTAAGTCATTATGCAAGGTAGCCTGTTTCCTCTTGTTTTTTCCTACCCCCCCCCCCCAGATGTTCTGGTTTAACTTGGATTTAAACTTGGAGAGTGGTCAGTTTAGATGAGCTATTACCAGCAGGAGAGTGAGTTTGTGTGTGTATGGGGGTGGGGGGGATGTGAGAAAACCTGGATCTATGCAGGAAATAGCCCGACTTGACTATGTAAAGAGTTGTCACTTTGGATGGGCTAGCACCAGCAGGAGAGTGAATTTGTGTGGGGGGGTGGAGGGTGAGAAAACCTGGATTTGTGCTGGAAATGGCCCACCTGTTGATCACTTTAGATAAGCTATTACCAGCAGGACAGTGGGGTGGGAGGAGGTATTGTTTCATATTCTCTGTGTGTATATAAAGTCTGCTGCAGTTTCCACGGTAAACATCTGATGAAGTGAGCTGTAGCTCACGAAAGCTCATGCTCAAATAAATTGGTTAGTCTCTAAGGTGCCACAAGTACTCCTTTTCTTCAAGGCAAGCATGGAGGCCGCTCAGCTCACTTTGGCAATTAGGAGCACATTAAACACCACACGCATTATCCAGCAGTATATGCAGCACCAGAACCTGGCAAAGCGATACCGGGCGAGGAGGCGACGTCAGCGCGGTCACGTGAGTGATCAGGACATGGACACAGATTTCTCTGAAAGCATGGGCCCTGACAATGCATGCATCATGGTGCTAATGGGGCAGGTTCATGCTGTGGAACGCCGATTCTGGGCTCGGGAAACAAGCACAGACTGGTGGGACCGCATAGTGTTGCAGGTCTGGGATGATTCCCAGTGGCTGCGAAACTTTCGCATGCGTAAGGGCACTTTCATGGAACTTTGTGACTTGCTTTCCCCTGCCCTGAGGCGCATGAATACCAAGATGAGAGCAGCCCTCACAGTTGAGAAGCGAGTGGCGATAGCCCTGTGGAAGCTTGCAACGCCAGACAGCTACCAGTCAGTTGGGAATCAATTTGGAGTGGGCAAATCTACTGTGGGGGCTGCTGTGATGCAAGTAGCCCACGCAATCAAAGATCTGCTGATATCAAGGGTAGTGACCCTGGGAAATGTGCAGGTCATAGTGGATGGCTTTGCTGCAATGGGATTCCCTAACTGTGGTGGGGCTATAGACGGAACCCATATCCCTATCTTGGCACCGGAGCACCAAGCCGCCGAGTACATAAACCGCAAGGGGTACTTTTCGATAGTGCTGCAAGCTCTGGTGGATCACAAGGGACATTTCACCAACATCAATGTGGGATGGCCGGGAAAGGTGCATGATGCTCGCATCTTCAGGAACTCTGGTCTGTTTCAAAAGCTGCAGAAAGGGACTTTATTCCCAGACCAGAAAATAACTGTTGGGGATGTTGAAATGCCTATATGTATCCTTGGGGACCCAGCCTACCCCTTAATGCCATGGCTCATGAAGCCGTACACAGGCAGCCTGGACAGTAGTCAGGAGCTGTTCAACTACAGGCTGAGCAAGTGCAGAATGGTGGTAGAATGTGCATTTGGACGTTTAAAGGCGCGCTGGCGCAGTTTACTGACTCGCTTAGACCTCAGCGAAACCAATATTCCCACTGTTATTACTGCTTGCTGTGTGCTCCACAATATCTGTGAGAGTAAGGGGGAGACGTTTATGGCGGGGTGGGAGGTTGAGGCAAATCGCCTGGCTGCTGGTTACGCGCAGCCAGACACGAGGGCGGTTAGAAGAGCACAGGAGGGCGCGGTACGCATTAGAGAAGCTTTGAAAACCAGTTTCATGACTGGCCAGGCTACGGTGTGAAAGTTCTGTTTGTTTCTCCTTGATGAAACCCCCCGCCCCTTGGTTCACTCTACTTCCCTGTAAGCTAACCACCCGCCCCTCCTCCCTTCAATCACCGCTTGCAGAGGCAATAAAGTCATTGTTGCTTCACATTCATGCATTCTTTATTTATTCATCACACAAATAGGGGGATGACTACCAAGGTATCCCAGGAGGGGTGGTGGAGGAGGGAAGGAAAATGCCACACAGCACTTTAAGCACAGCACTTTAAAAGTTTACAACTTTAAAATTTATTGAATGACAGCCTTCTTTTTTTTGGGCAATCCTCTGTGGTGGAGTGGCTGGTTGGCCGGAGGCCCCCCCACCGCGCTCTTGGGCGTCTGGGTGTGGAGGCTATGGAACTTGGGGAGGAGGGCGGTTGGTTACAGAGGGGCAGCAGTGGCAGTCTGTGCTCCAGCTGCCTTTGCTGCAGCTCAACCATACACTGGAGCATACTGGTTTGGTCCTGCAGCAGCCTCAGCATTGAATCCTGCCTCCTCTCATCACGCTGCCGCCACATTTGAGCTTCAGCCCTGTCTTCAGCCCGCCACTTACTCTCTTCAGCCCGTCACTTACTCTCTTCAGCCCGCCACCTCTCCTCCCGGTCATTTTGTGCTTTCCTGCACTCTGACATTATTTGCCTCCACGCATTCGTCTGTGCTCTGTCAGTGTGGGAGGACAGCATGAGCTCGGAGAACATTTCATCGCGAGTGCGTTTTTTTTTTCTTTCTAAGCTTCACTAGCCTCTGGGAAGGAGAAGATCCTGTGATCATTGAAACACATGCAGCTGGTGGAGAAAAAAAAAGGGACAGCGGCATTTAAAAAGACACATTTTATAAAACAGTGGCTACACTCTTTCAGGGTAAACCTTGCTGTTAACATTACATACATAGCACATGTGCTTTCGTTACAAGGTCGCATTTTGCCTCCTCCCACCGCGTGACTACCCCCTCAACCTTCCCCCCTCCCTGTGGCTAACAGCGGGGAACATTTCCGTTTAGCCACAGGCAAACAGCCCAGCAGGAATGGGCTCCTCTGAGTGTCCCCTGAAGAAAAGCACTCAACCAGGTGACCATGAATTATATCTCACTCTCCTGAGGATAACACAGAGAGATAAAGAACGGATGTTGTTTGAACACCAGCAAACATACACTGCAATGCTTTGTTGTATAATGATTCCCGAGTACGTGTTACTGGCCTGGAGTGGTAAAGTGTCCTACCATGAAGGACGCAATAAGGCTGCCCTCCCCAGAAACCTTTTGCAAAGGCTTTAGGACTACATCTAGGAGAACCGCAAATGCCAGGGCAAAGTAATTCTTTCACATGCTTGCTTTTAAACCATGTATAGTATTTTAAAAGGTACACTCACCAGAGGTCCCTTCTCCGCCTGCTGGGTCCAGGAGGCAGCCTTGGGTGGGTTCGGGGGGTACTGGCTCCAGGTCTAGGGTGAGAAACAGTTCCTGGCTGTCGGGAAAACCGGTTTCTCCGCTTGCTTGCTGTGAGCTATCTACAACCTCCTCATCATCATCATCTTCTTCGTCCCCAAAACCTGCTTCCGTATTGCCTCCATCTCCATTGAAGGAGTCAAACAACACGGCTGGGGTAGTGGTGGCTGAACCCCCTAAAATGGCATGCAGCTCATCATAGAAGCGGCATGTTTGGGGCTCTGACCCAGAGCGGCTGTTCGCCTCTCTGGTTTTCTGGTAGGCTTGCCTCAGCTCCTTCAGTTTCACGCGGCACTGCTTCGGGTCCCTGTTATGGCCTCTGTCCTTCATGCCCTGGGAGATTTTCACAAAGGTTTTGGCATTTCGAAAACTGGAACGGAGTTCTGATAGCACGGATTCCTCTCCCCATACAGCGATCAGATCCCGTACCTCCCGTTCGGTCCATGCTGGAGCTCTTTTGCGATTCTGGAACTCCATCATGGTCACCTGTGCTGATGAGCTCTGCATGGTCACCTGCAGCTTGCCACGCTGGCCAAACAGGAAATGAGATTCAAAAGTTCACGGTTCTTTTCCTGTCTACCTGGCCAGTGCATCTGAGTTGAGAGTGCTGTCCAGAGCGGTCACAATGGAGCACTCTGGGATAGCTCCCGGAGGCCAATACCATCAAATTGTGTCCACAGTACCCCAAATTCGAGCTGGCAACGTCGATTTAAGCGCTAATCCACTTGTCAGGGGTGGAGTAAGGAAATCGATTTTAAGAGCCCTTTAAGTCGAAATAAAGGGCTTCATTGTGTGGACGGGTGCAGGTTTACATCGATTTAACGCTGCTAAATTCGACCTAAAGTCCTAGTGTAGACCAGGGCTGAGAAACATCCCACTCCCCTTATCTGACCATTAGTTAACCCTGGCAAAGGTCATGATCTTCTCTGTCCCATCAGGAAAGGGAAGCAACAAAGCTGGTTTGCCTGTGAGAATGCCTGAACCCTTTAAGGTTTCAGTTTGCCCAAGGACAGCAAACTACTCAACAGCAAGGCCAACCGCTCTTTTGCAAGGAGCCCATAAGAGCTGTAGGGTGTGTGCTCTACGCAGCATTCTTTCCAGTGAGTACAGAACCAAGTATTACATTAGGAAGGATTATGTTACTGGAGACGCAATTTTTTTAACTTTCAAGCAGGGCATTTTTGTATTTAAATCCAACAGTCCTTACTTTGGTAAAAAGGCCCTTGAAATCAAAGATCTGATTACTAGAATACTAGATGGAAACATACCATAAAACTACCTGGCACATATTGGTCCTCCCTCCGATTGACTTCAAACAGGAACAAAATTAGAGCCAATATGGCTATTTTAGAACATTATTAATGAGAGAAATCCAGTCAGAGCCCAAACTTCCTCATAATCACCTTCCTTTCCTTTTGAACAGAGTGGTTTATTTTTGCAGTATATTGCATATGCATTTGTACCATGTTTGCTTTGCTCACCTTACTTTTAGTATGGCCATGCCTCTGAAGGTCTGTCCCTTTAAGGCCAACATATTGTAACTGAAGAACCCAGTCCTCCTGGAAGTTAGTCTAATACAGGTGATGTTAGAGTATGCTGATGGAGAACTCCTCATAATATTGCATCAATACTGTACCATTGTATGTGTGAGACTGGGACTATTTCTACACTACCGAGCCAAGGCTGGTACAGCGATGTCAGCATAGTTGTGCCGGCATAGCCCCCTAGTGTAGACACAGTGTACACCTACTGGTTTTCTGCCAATGTAGGAACACTGCCTCTCCCAATGACATTAACTACGCTGCCGAAAGTACTCTACTGCACTGGGAATTTTGTCTGCATAGCTATGTCGCTAAGAAGTATGAGTGGGGTTTTCCCCCAGCCCTGACCAACCCCTGGTATAAGTTTTAAGCATAGACCAAGCCTGGGTTTACTGGCCCAGGACAATACACACCTGGGTGCTGCAGAACCTCCCAGCAAATGCTGTTGTTTTTATAACCCATGACAATATTCAGATCATACCACAAAAAGATCTCTTGGTCGACAGGACAATCCCTCCTCCGTACTCCCATCTTTTCCCTTCAACCTTTTCCCAATGCCCCTGAGTTTCAGGCAATAGTTAGGATAAAGATTTCTGGGTTTTTTAGCACGTTTCAAGCAAACACCTGAGCTACACATCCCTGGTTTTGCCATACGACTTGGAATCTTCTTTGTTCTGATGAGGATATTTGTTCAGCGAATCTAAACTTAATGTCAAGACATGTTTAACGTTGTAACAGTTGTTCTCCCAACTTTAACTCCCTCAGAACAGAGCACAAAGGGCCACAAAATACAAGAACCCTTCTTATAGTTCTACCAATGTGCTTCTTTCTCAAAGTAGCTTTTTAGATATAATAGGAAATGGAGCTTTGTTCCCAATACCCATAAAACTAGATCTACACTCTGCTATTCTGCATTGTGCTTAAATACTTGTGGATGCAGTTCTAAGTTTAGAGAAAGAGAAGGGAAGAAGAATACATTAGCCAGCATTTCTATTTTGCTGAATAATACTTTTCTAGTTAAAAATGCATCTCATCTAGATAAATAGCAGCAACATTCTTTCAGCTTCTAAATCATTTTTCTTGTAATGTATTCTAGTAACATGACCTTGCATGAATGACATTAAAAAAGAATTAGTCATCAGTCATAATGTATTAAAAATATTTAGATCATGTGGTTATGAAAAGAGGTTTCTACATAGCCTTAAAATGTAGATCACAGTGAATCTTATTTTCTGGTCACATATTCCTGACCTTTTAATTAGACACAATATGCTCACACTACAACAGTATTAAATATGTTCCTATCTAAGGAACAGATTCAGTAGTCAGAGTGGCACATAGCTCCCATTGAACTCTATGGGAGCTACAGACAAAGCACATCTGAGGAAAAGTTTTTCTGGAGTTAACTGACAGCAACTCAGATATGGGTCCAATGGATCCACTTGGATCTGTGGAAGCACACAGGCTGGTCAGCCATCGATTTCAATGGAGTTCCCCATGGCCACAAGGGCCTACCTGCAAAAACCCAGTTGCAGGATCAGGGCTTGTTTTCTTAGCTCTCTGCAATGATTCTTTAACAGAGGGATGCTTTGAAAGAGGGAGATTAATAAGACTGCACTAGAAGGCATATGTGCATTTGCTTACATCTATAAAAGTCTCAGCCAATGCTTTGGGCACTGTACAAATCAAACCAAGTAAAATTCACTGGGTCCAAAAATGACAAAGGTCCCTCCCCTATACCCAGAACAGAGTACACCTATAGCTTGTGTATGTGTGCACACCACTGGACAGCCTCCTCCTACTATCCCTAACATTTCCTATCCCAGCATTCGTTAGCCCCTCATCATCCCTCTCACTCCCTAGGGAAACATGGGTCTTATCATCTTTCCCGAAGGTCACCAAACTGAGTAACCGGTGAATTGAAATGTTCTGCATAGATTAACCAAGCGACAGGAATTGGACACGTACTGTAAAGGTTTACTCTTTTCCTTGGAGAGAGGAGCCCCATGTTACATTAAAGGAGTTCACATGGCTTACAGTGGCTACTGCCTGAAAGCACGTCTTTTTGCCTAATGAATTAGGCCTGGATCCTGCAAAAAGAGCCATGTGGGTCAAAGTGTCTCCACAGGAGTCTGCCAGCATCACTTTCTTTAAAGGATTGAGGCCTGAATTGGTTTTCCTTTGGGTCAAATCACAGTAACCTGTTGAAAACTATATTTACTCCCACTAGCTCATCTGACCACCCCCATCCCAAACACACATGCTCCTGAGTTGCTAATCACTGCCTCTGATTCATTCTATATCTTAAAAAGCTTCCTAGCTTTGGAAGCTTCTGTGGTGAACACTGGCAGCTTGATCCATCCAAAAGCAGTTTTCCCTTCTCTTATGTGCTAGCATAAAATCCACTGGGGGAACAAAGGCTATGTCAGGAACTGCAGACACAAAAGAGCGTAATTTTGGTGGGTTTCTTTTCCCTAGGTAGTTTCTACTTCAAACGGTTTGTTGGCAATAATCTGTGCTTCAAGTTATGACATCACAATGAGTTTTCCTCTTACTCTTCCTTTCTGTGTGTTATGTAGAATCTGGTCCATTTCAGCTCATTTGTGAAAAATGTTTTTTGAATTATAAAAAGGAACTGTTGCATAAATCTCCCCTATCCTACATGACACAGAACACATCTACATTGTCAAAAATAGAAATGTAAATGAATGGTTATCAATCATTCGAATGCAAGAAACCAGGTGGTCCTTGCCAGTTAATGGAGGCTACAAGCTTTCACTCCTATTATTTCATGCTATTTTGTTGTTGTTTTCCCAATGTGAAAATAGCTATATGAGCCAATAGTAGCTCCTCCAGCTGGCAATAATATATGTTGCTTTAAATTCCTACCAAGGAGCAATCATTTGTAATTTAGTCATGCTGTGTCATTCCACTGCAAACAATATGGCCTGACACATCATTTACAATATAATGATGCAATAGAACTGATCTCGCATGGTATACAATGATTTGGCTCTTGAAAGCTACTGCCCATCAATACATTATAGCCACCAGACAAGAGAGAGGGGAAACGACACTGGCTAACAGATGCATAAAGAATGTTTGTGGTCAGAATTTTTTAATGAAATATACAATCAGAAAAAGCATCATGTCTAGAATTAAAAATAGATATTTCCTCCATTACCAAAAGAGCCTTTGCCTTTATGTAGACTCGGTGCCTTTCAGAGTTACTACCACCTTCAAGCAAAGCCACGCCATCTTTTTGCAGTTCTGACTGTTGTTGCCTGGAGGGCCCACACTGAGATTGCTCAATCAGGGCAAACTGCAAAGAATGGGGCAGACAATCCTCCAGACTGATGGTTATTCTAATAATTAGATTCATCAGCCCAGCAACAAAACAGCTTCTACAATACCTTACTGCAGCAGTTCTCAAGCTTCATTGCACTGCGACCCCCTTGTGACAACAAAAATTACTGCACAACCCCAGGAGGGGGGACCGAAGCCTGAGCATGCCTGACCCACACTGCCCTGGGTAGAGGGTCAAAGCCAAAGCCTGAGTACGACTGTCCTGAGCGGACTGTCCTGCTAAAAGTGAGATCAGAATCAAGCCCAGAATGAATACGGGGATTTTATATTCCGTGTTCTCCTATCACTTACAGCCACTATTTGTTGTAATCCTTCTTGTAGGATCTTTGTTCTGCTGATGTCATTTCAAGCTCTGCAGAAGATTTCACAACAGTACCACCTTGTTCTCTCAGAATTCCAAGTTAACCAGGGCCAGGATAGAGTAAGTTATCTCCTTGGAATACTTGTTATAGGAAGTGGGCTGGTGACTGTGACACTCTTACTTTTGAGTAAGAAATGACTCAATGCTCCATAGAGTGCTAGACAACACTGTACTGCTGGAGGTGGTCTCTTTCAGATGAGATGAGACGCTAATTAAAAAAACCTCACTGCATTTTTTGTAGGGGGTAGGTTTGGTGGCCCAGGT